AATAATTAATGCATCTACTAATGAAAAAAATTTGACTATTTCAAACAAGGACACTCTGACAAATAATCAACTTTTTCATAAAAGGAATCAAGAAAGCAACTCTAACCACTCCACCAAGGTCTTTAAAGAAAAAGACTCCATAACTATTAAATGTTATAAGTGTAACGCCCCAAAACACACCCTGGACGACATTATATTCTAAAATCATTCATATCATGAGAGCAATAATATAATCTCTTAAGAAACAAGACTTCATTTGTCATCCACGAATATTTACAACATTATCCAAAAGAATAACCTTAAGTCATTGCTATTACATCTCAAAAATTAATTAAAGAAGCGCAGCGGAATAAACAAAAGAAGCTAAACTACACAATGTTCCAAAAGAATGTTCTAGTCTAGTACAAAAGGAAAGGATGTTGCTCTATGCGTCCACCTCGAGATTCACACTCCCGTCCAGTGGAGTCTCCCAAGTAGCGGGCTCCTCGACCCTTACGTCCTCCTCCTCAAGCGGGTAATTTGAAAAATGTTAGCGATAGGGGGTGAGCACGAAGCTCTATAGAAAAATTCTCCCAAACTCATACAAGGTTTAGAAAAACATTTAAAACGGTCGGTCTCAATTTTAACATAACATAGATACATAATTTGAAATAAAGCAGTGATATTTAAAAAGGATCTAAAGTTTATTTAAAAACATTGCTTAAATAAATAAACGAGCATCACATACAAATAATAATCATTAATTGTCATAAACAATTCTCAATAATTCTTTCGGTAGGTGGCATACTTTGTGGTAACCTCCACCCCCTTTAGGTCACCTTTGATTCTCAAGCATCCTTACCGGGAACCTCTTGAAAATTGATGAACGTCTTTACATGGAACCTCTCACCAATCACTACATTATTTCCCAAGCATTCTTACAAGAAACCTCTTACTCATGTGCATCACAAACAACCCAACCAAACATACAATTCTAACATTTATCTCAATTTACAAACATCTATCTAAAATCCCCAAAATATATCATATAACAATTTCATAACCAACTAAGAAAATACATGAGATCACAATAACATCATTTTTCTACCCAACACAAAGCACTAAGGTTTCAAAATTCATAATAAAGAAAGCATTTAGGAAGAAAATACATCACTCTCCAAAAATTAGGATTTTAAAACTAGAAAAGAGATTTCTTGAGTATTAAACCTTATTTTGTTCAAAACATGTAATCCTTGCAAAAAGCCTAAGAGAGGATAATTCCATAGCATATATATATCATTGATAGCCAAAACATACATATATAAATACCCTAGTCTCAATGTAAGTGAATGAGAGAAAATCTCTACCTTGAATCCTTAGCTTTGGAGTGAAGAACAAAAATATTTGATCTTGAATCACCCCTAAATCTCTTGTTTTTTCCTTCCTTTCTTCTTCTCTAATGCTCTCTAGGGTTTCAAGAGGTGTGAGGGGAGTGAAGAAAATGAGAGCAAATGAGATGAAAATGAGTTTAAAACATAGCAGCCCCAAAAAACACTGTTTACAGGTTGTTTTGGGTTTCTTCAAATTTACGATTTTACCACTAAGAATCTCCAATTTGATCCATATGACTACCCTAAGGTTTGTCGACATTCTGAATTCATTTTTAATGTTATTTTAACCTAAAAACATTTATTTTTATGATTTATCTCAAAACCCAAGTTAACGTACACCCGAAACACTAAAATTTTTATTTTACCCATCTGAATCGGCTATTAATGAAGTTTTGCGATATTTACAAATAAAATGTGATAAAGGGTGTTTTTAAAATCTTTTATACTTATTTGAAGCCTAAAAATACTCATTATTCTTATATTTTGATTTAGGATACAAATGGAGACATTAAATGCAAAACGAAGCTAATTGGACTATTTTGACATCGTTTCGTTATATGAGCATAACTCTCTCATCCATGCTCCGATTGAGATGATTCAAGATGCTATAGAATGATACGAAAGAGATCTAAAACTTTCATGTTTTGAGTTTTGAGAGATATTGACTACATCAAGGTCTAAATCGAGCTTGAAGTTGCAACAGTGCACTGCTCACAGCCTGTCTTCGTCCCTTTTCCATTTCCAATTCATTCCTAAGCCAACCAAATCCATCCCAAACCTCTCCAACACATATTTCTACACCAAACCTATTTAATACAAGTTCTAGGACCTAAAATTTCATATTTTCACTTATTAAAACCAAATTTCAACTATTATTTTCACTAACATTTTAAATCTCTATTTTTCTAATCTACCAAATTCAAACACACATCACTACATATATCCACATTTTTTTTTACCACAATTATTTACTATATATCTATATACATATATAAAAGAAAATGCAGAGTGTTACAATAAGTGTGGAAAAATTGGTCATGTTGCTTCTAGATGTTATTATTATGTTTTCAAAAAAGCTATGACAAAATTAAGTATAAACACTTTAACTAAGTCACAAAATTTTATTCTTGATCTTATAAATAAAATTCAGGACCCAATTTCTAAAAGAAAAGCTATTGAACAATTTTTAGAAATAAATCCAGAAGAGAAAGATAAGAGACCTAATTTATCTCCATCTTATTCTTTAAAAGAAGTTATTAATAGAACCGAAAGTAAAAATTTATCCCAAATGGAAGAAACCTTGCCTACTGAGGTTCTAGATTTAAGAAAAGAAATTACTAAGATCAAAGAAGATATAAAAGTCATAAAGGCTAGACTTTTAGCCTTAGAAAAAATGTCACTTGAAGAAAGTGACATTCAAGATGATAAAACATTGTCTTCTAATAAATACATAAATGTATTAGAAAAAAAAACTTATCAAAAATGATATGTTAAAATTATCTTAGTTATAAATTTTGAATTTACTATCGAAACTATTATTCTAGTTAACAGTGAAGTAGATATAAACTATATAAAGGCAGGATTAATTCCAACTAAATATTTTGAAAAAATTATTCAGTTAGTCAGTGTTGCTGATGGGTCAAAATTAAATATAAATTTTAAACTCTCTAATATTTTTATATGTAATCAAGGAATTTATATTCCTACCACTTCTATTCTTATTGATAATTTAAATCAATTGGTGATCTTAAGAACACCATTTTTATCTTTAATCGAACCTATAGAAATAATTGATTCTAAAGGAATTTTGACGACTATAAATAGTCAACAAATATTATTTGAATTTATAACTACACCTAAAAAAAATGATAAATCAAATAAAAAAAAATCTGATTTATAAAGAAAATCAATTAAAATTTTCATCTTATTCTAACATATTAAAAAGTGATTTTTATTTTTCAAGACAAGAAGTTACAGAAATGAGTCATAACTCATATTCATTCTCTTTGAATCTTATTGTCAAATCACTAGAACTTCTTGACAGTTTTTGTGATTATGCAGGAGAAGATGTTTATAGCTTTTCCTCCACATGGAATACTAATAATTGCAAAATTTCACTTTGGTGTCTCTATTGCAATGCTGTGGAAGATCAATTAATTGATCATATACCTATTTTTTTTTATTAAGAATTGCAGGATGTCAAAAAAAATCTTTAAAAGCAGGTTTAAAGTTTCATCTTATTCTTGAAATTAATGACTGACATTATGAATGACACTATAAACAGTGGCTAGAAACTATAGTCCCAGAAAAATTTTGCCAAAACATGGTAAATAAACTTGATGATATAACAGTTTGAACCCAAGTTTTTGTATATAAAAATGCATATTTTTTTGATGACTATAAAAATACTTTTTATGCATATAAAAGTGCATATTATTTTAATCCATATAAGGATTTTCATTATTTTAATGCATATAAAAATACTTATTATCCTCCACTCTCTCTCTCTCTCTCTCTCTATATATATATATATATATATATATATATATATATATTGTGTGTGTGTTACTATTGGGAATTGGCGCAAGGTAAATTTTTTCTTTTGCCAATGAGGCAATTTTCATAGGGTGTTACGATCTAATTCCTCAATTAATCCCAAAACTTAGATGCAAGTGTCAAATAATTGAGACTTCACAAATTCATTGGCAAGGTTTTGGTTTTAAGTTTTTGAAGGTATGATATATGGCTTTGTCTAAACTCCAAAATGTTGCTTTTCATTTTTGTCCATTATAGTTAATGATATTTATTATCTCCATTCTTCCTGTTGAGTCTCTTTTTTTCTATTTTATTGATTTTATAACTGTGGTTTTCATGACTTGGATATAGCTAAGTTTGAAGTATTTTGTAAGGTGTGAATAGAATTTTTAAATTCAATTTCTGTAATTTTTCTAAAAAATAGGATGTGACTGTATTTTTTAAGTATTCAACAGCTTTCATTTTATGAGTTTGTTCTTGATTTTTTTTTTTTTACTTCCTTGAAATTGACCAAAGTTTACGATTATTTTATTTTATTTAAAACAACTATTCGAGTCGTTATATATCAATATTGAAAAAATCAATTTGTCAAGTTCGTCTTAACTTAGAAAACAATTAATTCATATTTGATCCTATGGTGCAACATCACTCTCTTAGAAATAATATTCCGCCAGTTTCTATCACTTCACTCCTCTCTGTCGTCTCCCCCCCCCCCCCCCCCCAACCAAAAAAAATTCCTCCCTCTTTCCTCTCCTGACCATTCATATCCTCCCTCTCTTCAGATTAATGATCCGACCCATTAACTAACAACCTCATAAACTATGTCCAAATAGTAATATTGAAAACCATACACCATGAGATCCAAGGCCCAACTAAGGGCAAGCAAGAGAAGATAAAACAGGAGAAATGTAACAAAAATAAAGCACCAAATGCTACCATTTGCACATAAAGTTCTAAGGAAAGACCAAAAAAACAGACACAGACCAAAGCATGTAGAGTCTCACCGATGTTCTTCCACCTCTATAACCCATTGTTCTAGAGGACTACATTCTTTTCGTTCCTCTCTTTATTACTCAAAGCTTTATACAACTATTTTCAAGTATCAACAATCTCAGATGCATCTGCAGCTGCTAAAATGAGCTCAGGTTGAATGCTGCCCACATAGTTCCCGTCCAATGCGTTGGGAAGTCCCAGAGATTTCAAAGCCAAATGAGCCGCTTTCTGCCCAGAGATCATCATTGCTCCGAACGTAGGTCCCTGTATCACCACCACCACCACCACCACCACCATATAACACATTAATCAACACAATCAGATTCATAGTTTTTCTTTATCATTCTTGACTTTGCACATCAAACAACTCAATTAACAGTTCATTTTTGCTCCAATTTTATGTTATCTTTAAGTATCTTAAACAATTTCTTCTTCGGACTACATAAAAAAGTCATTATCCAGTACACAAGGCACTCACTTCTTGTCATATAAGCATAAGCCAGAGGTAATCCGATCTTTCCTTCTTATAGTTATATCTTCTCAGATATTTGAGGAAAACTAACAAACCACCCATAAAAGGGAAGAATCTTAAGGTATGGAATGACCAAAAAGCTACGGCAAGGCACTTGAAATTACTTTATTGTAACAAACCAATCTGGACAAGCCCTTTTTCTCTAAAGGATTATTACCCACTTAAATGATATATAACCTGCTTTTTAATAACCTTAATATACTAGTGTAGTGAGGGTATGATCACCCCTTGAAATGCCACAACCATTTCATTGTGTAATCAGTATCAATTTTAAGGTTCTTATGAACAAGATTCGAGGATTATTGTCCTGCTTATTAGTTTGTATTTTACTTAATCGCTATCTCAGGAGTAAATATTCAATGTAACTGTGACACCTCGTCGTTACCGGTGCCACTATGTTCCCTAGTTCTAAACATGGGATAGTTATCGCATTATATGTGATGATGACTAGAATAAACTCTAAGTGTGAGCTCAGTCAAGGAGCTCAGACAAGGAGGTTGGTCAAGGAGGTCAGACAGGATAGCTAAAGATCGGTGATCCAATTCTCAAGCTCCCTTTAGAGGAGACAATAAAGGAAATGAGAAGGAAACAACTGGCAAACTGAGGGCACATTCCCGAAGTAACAGGAATCTACAGCTAAGGTGCAAAACTCTCATCAAACCAAGATCCTCTCTGAAAATCAAGGACAATCCCTCGAATGAAGGGCAAGGATCTCGGTACAGATCCCTTAGAAATAGGAATTAGACTATATATACTGGACAATGCCTCCATTGAGATGGGCGAAGCCACAAAAAAATATATCAGAATCTTCCTGTAATTCACAAAGATGATGAATAAAGATCCAAGGAGCAAGAGCTTCCATTGAAGGGTGGATTACCCAAGCTCCTGGTGAACCACACTGTGCAAGTTACCCCAATTCCCCAAGGACCTTTCCATAATCCTCACGAGCATTGTAGCTTAGATTCAGACTTGTTTATATGATTCGTGTTTTCTGTTCATATGTCTAATTACACCATCAATATGGATGGCAGGATGGGCATGTTTTTAACACGACAGTCAATATTTTCTCGGATCTTAGATATAGTATGCCTGAAAAAAACAGAGTATGCCTGCAAAATCTACAACAAATTACTGTTAAAAACAGAACCACAAACTGGAAAAAAATTACCATTCTAGGAGCTCCATCGATCTCAGCAACCTCCATTCCGGTAACAATCATTCCCGGAACAACCTCTCTGGTGAGCCTCACAATAGCATCCTCAGCACCATTCATGTCCAACGCCTTCATACCAGGCACATTATCAATCATCCCAATGCTCTTCAGCCTCTTAACACCGGTGGCTCCAAACGGACCGTCGTGGCCACATGAACTAACCACCACTTTGGCCTCCATGACATTTGGGTCCATACAGGACTGTGTGTCATGGTTCATCGAAACCAAGGCCCAATTCGTCACAACACCACCGACTCTGTTTCCTTTCACAATCAAATCCTCGGCGGCAACAGCGTTGAAGAGCTTCACATTTGGCCGAGCCAAGAGCTTGCTCATGATTGTGGAAGTGAACAGAGCCGCGTGCTTGATTACGACGTAGTTGTCTTGCTCGTCGTAGTCTACGCCAATTTCGTCGAGGAAGAGATGAGCTGGTTTGCGAACCACCATGGCTGAGAAGAGTTGGCCACCTAGCCATGCTCCACCACCAGGGCTCACAGATTGCTCAATGATAGCCACCTATTCAGAGACAAAAGTACCAATAATAGACATATATTCAGACACACATTCATTAATTTTTGCCAAAAATTAATGAAGTAGTAAAGAAAGATATGAGCACTATGACAAGTGAATCCAGATAGTCAACCCCAAAAAATATTATTGTGTAGGCTTATGCCCACTACTCCTTTCAACCTTATCAATGTGGCATGCTGACTAGTGAAAAGTAATTGAGCCTGAAACTTCGGAATTGAGGTTCTGTTAGTTTTGTTGCATGAACAGAAAGAAACCCACCTTCCATCTTTTTCATTCTAACACGAATTTGTTTGGGTATGTTGGAGACTATAAATTTATTGATTTCTACTTCAGATTGAATCATTTCCCAGAGAAAACACAATTTTATAAGTTTCTTAGAAAAGATGGAAATCAGATTACCTGTACGGATGGGTTCTTGCTGAGCTCATACGCACAAGAGAGTCCAGCAGAGCCAGCACCGACGACGACAACATCGGTGTCGGCGTATGTGATCATGTCCATCATGTATCGACGGGTCATTTCACGAGAAACGATCGATTCTTTGATGGGTTCAAAAATGAAGGATTTAAGATCATACGGAGGTGATGAAAGACACATGGAGACAGAGAGGGCTTGTGGGTTGTTGGCCCTAATGGGTTGTACGCTGGTTGGAGATGAAATTGGGACTCCATAAAAGGATGATTGGTCTAAGAAACTGGTCTTGAGCTTTGAAGAGAGCAAGGTTGTGGCCATGGTTGCCATTGTAATGCTGGAGAAGGTTGAAAGGCTAGTGTATAGAGATATCAGGTTTTCTGAAGATTGTGTGAGTGAAGAGGAGAGTGAGAGTGGATATTTATGGAGGTGATGAAGAAATATCTGGGGGAGGGGGAGGAGTAGGGGACACGTGTAAAGAGGATAGGAATTGAAGGGTCTAGAATGGTTAGGTTAGTTGCTATCTAGTAAAGAAGATGATGATCAACTGTGAAATGTCCAGTTCTAGCACAAGTTCCATGGATGAACTACTCTTAACGTCTACTCCCAAAGTTGGATTATTGGCTAAGAATTCGTATTTACTCGTAATTTATTAATTCAATTAGTTTAATTATGGGATTAGTATATCAAAATTAAAAATTTAGATTAAATACTTAGAGCTAAGTAATATCATTAATTCAGTCATTAGTCTCTTTGTGGTGAAAAATCCTCCCTTTCGAGCTAAGGGATAAACGTAGTTCATCACTTTTTTGTTCGTCATCTTTTGCCACAACTTTCGATGAAAAGGATTTGAGATTCACGGGGAAATAAAATATCTTTGCATGAAAACCATTGAAATTTCAACTTGATTTTCAATTGAGTTTTGGTGGCATCATATTTTTGTCATCTTGGAATAGTTTCACCCTTTTTGAGTTTTGAATGATATATATATATATATATATATATAGAGAGAGAGAGAGAGAGAGAGAGAGAGGTCACCCAATCAATATTCCACTGAGTGGCAAGCATACAAGAAGGTAGTAGGACACCTTGTTAATTACTTTTGCAAAATTTGCTCTTGTAATGCCAACAAAGCAAATGGAATAGAAAATTTGCAAATTTCTCTATAAATTCAACGAATGAGGTTTTTTATAGGCCAAAGGATTGGACCCATAGAGGACCTTTATCCCTTGTTTGAATGACACGGCACTAGAAGTGGAACATATAAAAATTTCTTATGGCGTGAATATCTCAACTTATTTGAATTAGGGAAGTGATAATTGTATTGTGGCAGAGCAATAATATATTAGTGACATGTCAATAGCCCATAATCAAAATAATGTTAAGTATGCCAGAATCTTAATGTTCTAATGATCACCTGAATAGATTCTTCAGAAACACACTTGAATGGAACCAATCTTCCAATGTACCAACTCTGATACCATGTTAGAGGCACTCGACCCAAAACCAATCTCCATGCAAAAAAAGCTTCCCTTGAATGGAACCAATCTTCCAATGTAGGAGACGAGCTCTCTTCACAGGACATTTAGGAAGGCATATATCTGCTACTATTTTTAATAAAATGGAGCTGGAGTTAACCAGACTCCAAAGATAACTCAGATGTCAAAAGCTGGAATACATTAGATTGACATGAGACTGCATTTCTGCGCTTAACTATTTAACACTGTCAACAGATCTTGACGAAGAACCTGATAACAGATGAGGAAAGAAGTGTCACTTTCATGCAAAGAAAAATGAAGAATCTTCCACTTCGGTATACAAAAGGTGTAAAGTCAAGGGAGAGAATGGGTTCTACATTTCTACAACACATGTAATGCACATCTTCAACAAGTCATCGAATGTCGTACAAAGCAAGAAGTCAAAATGCTAAATACATATGGGCTGATAACAATGGTCTGACAAATAAGTTTCGAGTTTCCTCGTAACCGTTTAGTGGAGCAGTCTGTAAATGATCCTGAGATCTCAAAAACTCAAGTACCGGTACACTCTTCTGTCAAAGACCTATAATTCCTCTTACCATGTTGAATTTAGTTTCAAAAGGATAGACATATGGTTTCAGAATCTGCTGCAACCTGAAATATCAGAATAATAATTAATGAAGTGTCCAAAACATTTCTTCTAATTTAATTTGGCTTGTAGCATTCTGTGATTCTGTTGGAGAAATGATTTTTAAGCATCTTAACTTGCTAAACAAGGAGATCCATTTCATTGGACATTGCAATCCCACCCGATAGATAGTCCAACAGAATAAGTAAGATGTTAAGCTCCAAACTAAAGAAGAAGCAGTTCAAAAATTATGATAAAACTAAGGTCAAACCAAACAATGTCTTCCTATAAAAGCGGTGGCACTGGAATAGCAATTCCAAACATGCAACTCTCAAATATGAAAAAGATAGTACAGACAAGCAAATCTCCACCAAAACAGATGACAACTGAAAACTAACCATCTACAGATGATCAAGATAGGTATATCAAAATAGAAACTTTGTAGTAATTGAACAAGAAAGTTGTTTAAATATGAACTAACATATTACTCACAGAAATACATATATATTCAGAAATGCATGCATAGGGAGATACATGAATTTCTAGAAACCAGGCTCTTAGCGTACAATTTTGGAACAAAAGTCAGTTCACGTAGATTGCCTCTAAAAACAACATACATTCATGAATCAATGTCCGAAGTGCTTTAATTCAGATAAACTGTGAAGTGACGAAACAATCTTGTTGGGAATCTGGTTGGAGTCGGATAAATATTCTGGATTTATTTATTTATGTGATAATAGTTAGTAGTTATCTTTTTAGTGTTACCTTTATGTTAGGAGTCTTTACCTTGGGGTGTGGTTTCCCTGTATAGAAGAATTGATTTAAGCTTTTTATTAAATCTTTTTGATTATTGATTAATTGATACTATCATTTTTTGCCCTAATCTCCTTTTTCTTTCCCCTATTCTCATCCCCTTCATCTTATCAGTCTACATCAAATTTCCATGCAAGCCCACAATAATTTTTGAAAAGCTTCCAATTTAAATCGTAATGGTACATATGGGAAAGATAGTGGAAGAAGAATACTGTTAGCAGTTTCTAACCACTGGAGGAACCACTCACGAGTTCACCTGCTTGAGTTGATTGAGTGATTGTACTGCCAGCTTGATATCTTTGAGCCTAAAATCACATGAATTAGCTGAATTGATAAAGCAGACAATGGAATTGCCAAAGAATCATCACACAGAGCATCCAACTTCTGACAACCACAAAGACGTAAAAGATCAACATAGCATTCAAGTTTTCTAGATTGAAATACAAGATGTAGATGTTAAACTAAAATAGATTTCAAATACATAACAATAGTTTTTGTTGCATCTGTCTGCATACAGGAGAGGTTCTCAACAGAATTACCTCACTGCAATCAACATAGGAAAATTTAGATGCGGCATGAACATGTGCACACACACACACACACTGAGACAGAGAGACAGATGCTGCAATGAACATGTTTCTTATTCAAGTGACATCATCAGTGCAGAAGCAAAAAGAAAATGTGAAAACAGAGTATACCAAATCCCGTTTTATGAATTGAACATGCATTCTCGCCGACATAATGCCTGTTGATGACTGGACATGTTGCTCATATCCAGGAATGGTGTTTTGTGAAGAAACACATATTAGCTTTGTTAGCCTTTAGGGTCTCTGTACATATAAGCAACCTTAGATTCTTCCTGTTCCTCTAATCCTGATTGCATTTTATCCCCTTCCTTAGCTGATCAAGTTCTTGTTTCAGAATTTCCCTCTGATACTTCATAATCCAGGATTTTCCTCTGAAAAATGAATTTTTAAATAGCACAACAAAAGTGAGTTCCAAATTCTTGTAATTGTAAATTCTTCCGCAAATATCAGAGCATTTTCCCATGTCATAGCAAACCTCATTACGTGATGCAAGGATTCCAAAACATTTTGCACTATTGCAAATTTTAATGTATTATGAGTTTCTTCCATACTGCTGGATGCAGGAGCATCTGTGCATATAAGCTGAGATAAACAGAAAAACAAAAGGAACAGACATGTCAATATTACACACTATGATTCCATTCACTGCATTACAACTCATAAAAAGGCCGAGTAAAATCAAATGGACTCAACCTAATCACTAAAATTCTTGTGACTTGTCTCGCTTACCAAAATATGCTCAAAACAAGTAGAATACTAAGAAGAAGAAAAACAAGTAGAATACTAAAAATAAGAAGAATACTCAAAAGAAGAATACCGAAATATCCAGAGGAGAAGATTACTTAGAAGAAAAATACCAAAGAAGAATACGTAGAAGACGAAGAAGAATGCTTAGAAGAAGTAGAATACTGAGAAATAAATAAGAACAAAAAAAAAGGAAGAAGAATGTTGAGAAAATGACCAAGAGTAGCAAGAAGAAGAAGAATATTGAGAACATTGCGAAGAAGCATATTGAGACGAATAAAACCAAGAAGAGGATGAAGAACAACAATATTGGGAAAAAGAATATTGAGAAGAATACTACCCAATAGAATGTTGCCACCAGAAGCAAAACCCCATATTTCTTCTAAAAATCTCCTAATTGTTCTAGGCAACTAAAAATAGATTCTTTAACCAGAACAAATTTGATTCAGATGTAGGATACCTATTTAGAAGTTTGATCAAAGTACTGAGACAAAGAAAAAAAATATTACTAAGAAGAAAAAGAATATTAAAAATTTGACAAAAAAATAAGAATATTGAAATGAAGAATAATGAATGGATCGATGAATCGAAAAAGAAGTAAAAGAAAAAGAATGAATTAAAAAGGATGAAGAAGAATATAGAATTCAAGAAGAAAAAGATTATTGAATTCAAGAAGTAAAAGAAGAAGAAAAAGCATTAGAATACTAAATATAAAAAGAATACTCAAAGAAAGAAGAATAATAATACTAACGTATACAAAGAAGAAGACTACTTAGAAGAACAAGAATACCAAAGAAGATATAGAAGATGAATGCCTAGAAGAAGTAGAATACTGCAAACATAAATAAGAATGCGAAGAAGAAGAAGAAGCATATTGAGAAGAATAAAACCAAGAAAGTAAGGAAGAAAAACAACAGTATTGAGAAAAAGAATACTGAGAAGAAGAAGAAGAACAACAAATCTATCACGAAGAAGAAGAAGATATTGAAAAAGAAGAAGATGCTGAAGAAGAATGCGTTGAAGAAGTAGAATACTGAGAACATGAATAAGAATGAAAAAAATAAGAAGAATACTAAGATGCTGAACAAGATTACCAACAAAAAGAAAAATATTAAGAAGAAGACGAAT